CGCTCAGAACTTACAAGTTTGGGCTCAGAATCCAAATATTACTTCGAGCCAGAAGGTTTTTCATTTCATTATTTTTTATACGTATAACTACATTAAAAGTAGTGCGAGTAACTCATAAGCCTCTCTTATGGTTTCATGGCAAAAGTTGAGTATTCATTAAAAAAAATTGGTACTTTTTTGGGTCGGATTAAAACTCAAATACGTACACCTCTCAGTGGCAAAGTCCAGTGAGAGGTGGTTTTAAATCTAGCTTGGCAAGTAGGCGGGTTTGCCAATGTTCATAAAATTTTCTGAAACTATTTTGTTAAAAAAGCTATTGTAAATCTTATTTTTATGTTTATTATATTTTTCAGAATTTCAAAAACCTGAAGGTTCTTTTAACGTCATTAGCTGCCAACATTCAGATTCACACCTGCCACGATGAAGAAGTTGTAGATTATTTGTTGAGTTTGAAGACCAGACCATCTTTTCATAGATTGGTTGGTCTTTCATGCTCAAATATTTTACTGAATTCGTTTTGTTAAATACTTTTTTTTTACTGTTTTTATCATTCATACTAGTTCTTTAATTGTCAATAACCAATAGCTATTTTAACAGCGAATCATAATTACACATATGAAGTTGACAGTATAAGCAGTAATTGGCGTATTAAAAAAAAGTTGGGGTCAACTTCTAGAGTTTACTTATAGGTGGTCGATTTTGGGTCACCATTTTTATATCCTGCACGTTTTGATTGGTTGTTGGGGGCCATAGCTCTCCTCAATATACAACTTTTTATAAATAATCAAACCCTTTAGCGCCAATATTTTATATATATATATAATCAATAACTATTGCATATTTTTTACTGAGAAATTTAGTTGAAATTCACTACTATTTCTACTACCACTTCCATTATTTAGAACGTTCAATGTATACTTGATATTATTCGAAATACTGGCGGCAGAGAAAGCGGCTTTTTATTTTTCATAATACAGCAAACATGTATAAATGAGCTTCGCGAGAACACCACGTTGTCTTCTTCGTCAAATAATATGGATATGTTATGTTTAACGGTCCTGCAGTTTGTAAGTTCATTATATTCTATCTACTATCCATGATATATTTTTTTCCTTGCAGGAAAGCGGAGGACATTCTAGGTGCGGTTTGCCAGAAGCTTTTAGCTAAAATCCCTAGCAGTTGCCCGGCTATTCGCGCGTAATTATCGAAGCAAATTTATACTGTCTTTCATTGGCTAATGCTATTTTCTTTATTCTTAGTGTCTTGGCGAAACTTATAATCAAGTTATTGAATCATAAATTCAATTCGGCGCAATTTGTTTCGGGTTTACTGGGAAACGGCATCCACTTCAAAGAAGTACCTACGAATGATTTGGTATCTGCTCCTATTGGCCTCTTCCGTTTAGTATTGTGAAATACATGTTGTGATTGGCCCAATGTATAGGCAACCTATGCATTCGCCCTTTTGGATTTAACCGCTTTTTCTTGTGTTCTTATTATCTCTCAAGAACTTGTGATGACTTTCAAAAGGATTTATTGGGTAAGACATTAACTCTGCGATTTTCTAAAAATAGTGATTGTAGTACTAATAATGAAAATAATATAATAAGGACCCTCGTTTTGCTTGCCTGAATGTTCTACACTTCGCAAATTTCAGAGGACTATTTCTACCATTCAGGTCTTTTGCACTAGTAATAATAGCGCCATTTTAATCGATGTTTAAAATAATTTGGCCAACAGTGCACTGGTTTAAATTGGCTTGTTAATTCCGCGCCCCATTTTCTGCCAATCACACGAGACGGCGACTATTCAGGTATTGTTTAAAAAGTTTTTTGTGAATTCTTTATTTCATTATAATAAACGCCTTCCAGCTTGCGTGTGGAAATTGTTATTTTTAAATAATTCCGAAGAATACGATCCTTTAAAGGTTGCATTGACAATACTGATAATAATAACAACTATAATTGTGAAAAATAGCTTCTACCTGACCTTTTCCGATTAAAAATACTGCGAAGTTATATTCCTGTAAGCAGTGGAACTATTGAAGCCGTTTCCTCCTTAGCTCTTACGGTATTCGCTATACTTTAACAGTAATAATATTTCTTTTACACGTTTGACCGATAAAATAATGAATTTGCTATAGATAATGAACAACTTTTTATTTTTCCATATTATAATAGAACTTTAACGGAGTTTCGCCGCTCACTCGTTCTACTGCTTTGGATGTGCTTAATATTCTTATTAAGCGGGCTTTGCCGTTTTGCACTAAAAGTTTTGCCTTAAGCAACTTGTTTACTTTTTATTAAATTTATGAATGATAATAATAATAAAATAGTGCAGTTTTTTTTAAATATAATTTTTTGTTAGCATTTTTATTCTTTTATTTTTAACCAGAAGTAAACGGTTCTATTGGTCTTTCAAATCCTGAAGACGTCATAAAAAATATTTTTGAACTTTGTTATTTTTTTATGTTATTTTTATTTTTCATTATAATTTTATCATAACTTATAAGCAATGTACCGGCCTCTAATAAAGTGGAAATACCGCTTTTCATATACTAATGAGTACTGGAAGGTTTTCTTTTATTTTAATGAAAAATTCAATATTATCATTATTTTTAATGCTTTTTTATTACTGTAATATTTCTCTTTTCATTAGTCCTTTGTATAACAATAATACTATTTGTAGGCATGCTTATTGCTTGTTTATCTCACCTCCTCCAATGCGCGCGTTATGGGCCCGGTCGCGTATAAATGCCCCATTCTGAAAGAAATGTTGGAACGGGTTATCACAAAAAAGTTTGACATGTCTTCCAACATTAATAGCAAAGTTGTCTTTTATTTTTTTATTTTTTAATAAATATTTACATAAAAATTAGTGAACTGTTGACTTTTTTCTCTGCTTTATAGAATAGCGAGTATTATATTGAAGAAGCTCGGAAGTCTCAACTTGAGAGCAATATAATTTTAGAATTTGAGGTTGCATTATTATTTTTATCTATTATTTAGGGTATTCATTATAATTTTAGAAGTATTTAGCCGAGAACGGAATAGTTGAACCGGCTGACTCTCGCTATCAGCAGCAGCATAACTCGCTTGTAAACAAAATTATGCTGTTTGACCCCAAAGAAATTTTCCGCCAAATTCCAGCTCACTTGGCATTGCAAGTTTTTTTATTTTTTGTGATTGTTTTTTTCTTTGTTATTAAATTTTTATTTCACAGTTAAAGAGCGACAGCGAAGAGTTTCAGTTGGGCACAGCATTGTGCACGTGCCGCGATCCTGACTTTTATTGGATATTATGCAGCGCTGTACAATGTCTTATGATATAATTACGTGGCTAATCCCTATTGTTCAGGGTTAGTTTTCTCGCTTTCTAATGGTTGCACGAGTACCTAACTATAAATAGTCCAAATAGTAATATCTTCTTTTCTTTTGCATTCTTCTTGAATGCATCAATGATGTTTGCTCATTATCCTTTAAAAATTGGTAGTGAATTGCTGTGTTAAGTTATTTTTGTAGGCATACGTGTTTATTCACCTTTACATTAATTGTTGGGCACCCTATTTCGCTAAAACCTTTGAGGCATATTCTAACTTTTTACCTCAACATCCTATTATGTTTTTATTGTACATTTTTATTGAGCAAATTATAAGTTTTTAAAAAATCTACTGCTTAAATATTATTGTTTCACGTGTTCTCATTTTCCAGAGAAAATGAATGAATTAGACCAACTTCCAATCCAAGCGTTTTGTCTGGTGGTTTTTGTTGGGAAGTTTGCTATGAATTTTAATGAGGTTTTACTCAAGTACATACCTGTATCCATTTTAAAGGTACTTTGTTTTTTGTGTCACTGTTTTCTTTTACTAAATTTAAGACTTGGAGGCCTCTATGAATATTATGCGGAGTTTCTACCAAAAGTCTCTGGAATGTTCCCGAACAATTTTCTTATTTCTTTCACCATATTTATGCTCCAATAAATACAGAGAAAGATTCACAGCCAGCTTGTTACTTTCAGATATATCCGTTGATGGTATTTTTAAGAAACTGTTTTAAATTTCATTGGTTGCATTTTAATTGCCTCCTTATAACTGGTTGTTGTAAGATTGGAGATTTTAAGTAAATTTATAATTGTTTCTACTTTTAATTAAAATTTTACGTGTTTTTTTATGAACTTTGATTTATATGTTAGCCAATGGTTTCCCTTATCGCACGTTATTGGACGTATTATTACTTATACTGAATTTTATTGGGTGTACCATTAATAGGACTATAATGTGTTTTCACTCTTTTTAGTGTTGATGTTCAACAATCTTGTGGTACAGCATTTTTTATCTTTATTGGTTAAATTAAAAACTGACCACGTGCCTGATTGCAATGCTTATGTTTTTTAATGACATTCATAATAGTTGAAGTTTGTTTTAATTTTTACTAATTATGCATAAAATAATTTATTTTTAAATTTTTTACTTTAAACTTTTACGGTTCACTAATATTTTTTAGAGGGAAAGCAGCTTCCGAGTAGTACTAAAATTTCATGGCTTTTTAGTAAATATAATGAAAGTCAGCAGGAAACTGTTGCTTCTGTGCTTTGCACTGCACTGCAGCACGAAACTGATCCGATTCTGCTCTACAATTATCTTCTGTACTGTGTACCGTATTTTCTTCGGGTTTGAAGGTATTTGTTGGGGTAAAGTTCTAGCGCAATGCCCTTTTTTAATGAGAATATGTAAATATATAATTTATAATAAGTCTTTATTAAATCTTTATAGAAACAACTGGTTTTCTCAGACTTGTTGAGGCAAATTACACGGGTACGTTTATTATTATTATTATCATTATTATTATTATTATTATTATTATTATTATTATTATTATTATTATTATTATTATTATTATTATTATTATTATTATTATTATTATTATTATTATTATTATTATTATTATTATTACTAATATTATTATTTTTATATAACATTACTTAAAGTGTATAAGTAGTTTTATTTTTCACCGCTTAACCGTTTGGGGCTATCTCTGCTGGTTTATTTCTCAACTGCCTCATACAGAAAAGTTTTTTTTTATTTTTTTACTTTTATATAATTGTTATTATTATTATTATTATTACAAGAGAATGCATAAGTAAGCTGCTCTGCACACTTTTTGATAGCACGTTCGACTTGTCTGCATATAAAAAGCCTATAGAAACTGTTCAAGCTATTCTTTGGGACGAGCTTAAGGAGGTTTATTTGTGAGAAAATTACTGAACTTTAATTTAAGACAACCAATAATCCTTAGAATAAAAAAACCGAATCTGAAAAAGCGCCTTTGTTTGTTTTTTGCTCAAGTGAAGGGCGTCTGTTTATTTTGGAAAAAACTTTTTTTAAGGCTTTTTTGATATTCCTTTCGTCCGAGTTGGCCACTTTCTTGCCTATGGGTTGTTTTCATTGGTTGATATTTTTCATTATTTTAATAATGTTTATTAAAAGCGGAGTTTGAAAGGTTTGCTGTGTCGCGTTTTTCATGAAACTCAGCGTGAGGTAATTAAGAAGAATTACTGATTGGTTTGGTAGTGAAGTGATATTAACTTTATGAAAGGATGTAAAATAATATATTGAAATATAATAAATTTCATAATAACTTTTGCTTAAATTTAAAGCAAATCTTTACGGAAGAAAACGTTACTTATACTGTTTTTGAAAGTCATCGAAAGGACCAAAAATTTCCCGCCATCGCGAAGCGCATGCTTTTGTCTGACCGTCCCCAACTTGTTCGATTAGGTTACTCTTATTGGTGCACTGTGTCATTATATTATTCGATGGTAAGCACATTAAAGTAGTTAAAAAGTATGTAGAAAAAACACGTGTTTTAGAGAATTTTTATAACTTAAGTAGCTACTCGTTTAAGCCCCCAACTTTTGAAGAAGCGCCAAGTAACATTAAAAAAAGTAGTAATGACTTCAAGTTGCCAAATACACGTGCTGTCTTGCAAATGTTTATTATAATTGGGCTAGAAGAGATACTTTGTTCGTGTTTTATTAGTTAAATTTTTGTTTCATTAAATTTTTATTAAAAATGTCAAATATTTTATGGAATTAACTTTTTATGTATCGGTAATATTTTTTTAAAATTTTGTCATCGTTACAGTTTTGGAACGTTTTGATGAAAGTTCGTTAATGACTGTTTTGGACACTTCTCTTCTTTCACAGCAAACACTCGCCATGATCCATAACTATTTTTCTTCCAATTATGTTCGCCTGGAGCTTCCCTCTGCAGAACCTGAAGTATAAACCTTTGTTTACCGGTGTTTAGAAACATTGATAGTACATTTTATTGGTAGGGGGATTTTTCCTTTGCTATTGATGATTTTTATTCGTGTCTGTACGTTAACGAAGAGACGCCCTTGTATTCATCACCGCGTGTTTTATTAGCTGAGCTAGCGGATACGCTAAACAAGGAAAAGGCCTATGTGAGTAGTTGTACTGAAAAGGATATACAGGATGACGCTGGTTCGTGCATTTTTTTTACCATGTCATTGTATTACTTCCCTTTTTAGCGCCTGATTGGGCTGCCCGAGTTGCTTATTTGCTCCAAGTGATACTCAATGAAAATTTTGATTCCTCTTCTTACGTTACTCCGGCCAATCACAAACTTGTCGATGGCATGATTCTCGAATTATCTAACTGCGATCGTTCCCATCAGTTAAAGTTTTCTAACCTCATTGGCGAGATGCCTCATAGTGCGCTGTTGCACTTGTTGCACTTTGTTTATAATCATGGAAGTCCAAAAAGTGCTGAGCTCGTTTGTGGTTGGATACTTTCGCTGGTTGTCATGAACAGAAAAGACCTGCCGAACCTTAGCAACTTTCTCGTAACGTGCTTGTTTCAAGAATCATCGCCCACGCTATCTACTGGTTGGCTTGTGGATTGGTTGTCGGTGCTGGACCCTTCATTATATTCCGTGGATTTTTCTCAACTTCTTGGGAGTACCCGTGCGTGTTACATTATTATATTTTTATTCGCATCTGGTTACTTTATTTGGCAGGCTTCGACTTTTGCTTCCGCGCTTTCTCGGTTATTTTGCACGAGAGAAACGAATCAGAACTTCGTGATTTTTTGTTAATGATGCTGTCGAGTAACCACGTGGTGGAAGAGTCGGAGCTTGAGCTTCCCTGCGGTGACTCGCATGCGATTTTTGTGCTTGACTTTATTGGGGTGGTAGTTCGATATTTCCACCGTTTTGCGCCTTTAACTCACGCTTAAAAAGGTTAATAATTGGTGTCCATTATTTTTATAACAAAAAACTTTTTAATGCTCCGGCAGGAGACATTACGAGTTTTAAAAATTCTCTTCCACTCACTGCTGTTCATGCCAAATCCATTGCATGTTTAATACTGAAGGAACTGGTATGCCATGCTTTATAAATGTTTTTTTTATAAAAATTATTTTCAAAAACTTTTTGAAAAGTTTATAAACTTTATTTATACCCCTTCCCCCTCCCCCCCATTAACAAGATAAATGACTTTCATTATTCTGCATGCAAAGACCGTTTTTCAAGACTTTCTGCTCGTCGACTCGGTCTTCAGTTTTTTCTTTTCTATTTATTTATCATATTTTTTTCTTAATATTATTTTTTAATATATAGTATTACTTATAATGATTATATATTTTTTGGTATTATTAAATGTTTTTACGTTTCAATGCCATTGGTAGATTTACTCTCGTACACCTGTCGCTGCAGTTTTGTAAACTTACTGAGTGTAGTAAAGTATGTTGAGTCCCTGCGAATACGTGCAGAAATTTTGTGCAGCAATAGCACCAATCACCAGCCGGCTCTTGTCTACTGTGATTATCTTCTTGCGGAACTGTATATCATGTGTCCAAAAATTTCCTCAGTAATAAGTAAAAGTATTGTGTCGGGTAATGATATTTCCGCCGACTATACACTTTCAGTGGTGAGTAATAATACTAATAATAATAGTAATAGTAATTAAAATGTTAATAATAACAATCATAATAATAATAGTAATAATATAATAATAACTAAAAATCGATAATACGTTTTTTTTGGGTGGACATCTTTTTTCATCGATTATTGTTGTTATTCATTGAAAACAAGATTGCAGACTTCTACTTTAGTGGCTTATGGCCTCATAAGAAACTTTGCGGCGCACCATCCGCTTTTGGTTCTCCGGTATTTAAAAGTTTTAGGAAGTTCTATTAAAGGTTTTTTTTTGATAATGCAAGTAATAATAATAATACGAGCCCGGCTCACAACGCAGGACGCTACAGTATAATGAGCAAAGACCACCTCAAGGAAGCGCCCAGTCTGATTGTATATCTGCGTATCATTAATGTACTGGATTTACTTAAGCCTGCTTTGTTCGAAATGGTATCGGACGTTGGCTTACTGCAGTTTTATTATTCATCCAATTTTCTTTTTTTTTTTAATCTTTTTAGAAATACAAAAAAAGTTTTTACATTATTTTTGATGAGTTTATGAGTGTTGTGGCATCGCAGAAATCTCCGAATAATCACTTCTATATATTTCTAACAAAATGGTATTTATTATTATATTATATAAAAACTTCTGATATATATATATATATAAAGGATCGGCTTTCTGCTTCATTATACTAAATACAACCCTGAAAGTGCCTTTCCGTTATTATCAAAATACTTTTTTCTATTAAGGCAGCAGCTGCAGGTAAAATTCCTACTATTTATATAATAATTTTTTTTTTGTTTTCAATGGGACAATTTTATTTCCTTATGATTCTTCATTTAACTACGTTTTATTATAACGAATTAGAGTCATCCTCAACTCATCAATCTAAGGTTATTGGTCTCTCAGTTGAAGACTCAATGGAAAAAAAATAAAAATAAAACAGAAGAAGACCAACCTTCCTCTACTAATGAAACTTTTTCCTTTCCCTCTACAGACTTTTTGCTAAAGTACTTGTTGGTGGATTTTTCAGTGTTTACAGTCAACAGAAAACAAAAACTACAGCCTTTTGCCTATTAAACCTACCGAAGCCCTCCCATTCTCATTTCCGGACGATCGACTTTCTTCCTTCCGCTCTGCATTTACTGAAAAAACATCTTCTCATAGAAGTTTTATTACTTATTATTATTATTATTATTATTATTACTTTTGTTATTTTATTGTTATTATTATAGTTTTAATGGCTATCGCTGATCTTGATAAAGCCTCACAGAAAGTCCCTCCCCTATTGAATGTATTTAAAGATAACATAATATCTCTAATCTCATTGGAAAATGAAGATATTCGGTATTTTTTCATTGGTGTATGTTATACAGATGGATGAAAAAATTTGTATCTGTTTATATAACTTGCAAGGAATTATGCGTACGCTCTGGCGCTTCGCTACGTTAAACACTACCCGAAAGACGCTAACTGTATAACGGAGGCTTTTGTTAAAAGCTTACCGAATCTTTCAGTCGCGCACCAAATAAGAGCACATCGTTTCGCAGCTGATCTTCTTGTTTACTCTCCTGGTAACTTTTACTCTTTGTACTCGTTATATATTTTTTTTTAAGTCAATAAATTTTATGATAGAATATTCGGAGCATCTTCTTCAATATGTCTTCGCTTTAAGTTTTGAGGATAAGAATGCTGGCGCTGAATTGCTTAATTTGTTACAAATTTACAAAATCCTTTAGTAATAAAAACTTTTTAAATAAACTAAAAGCTAAAATTTATTTATAAAATTTTTTTTTGTTTATTTTCCCCCTTTGAAATCACTTAAAGTTCTCGTTGACAGAAATTTCTAAGGTAATTTCATGTCATTTTGTTTTCTTTTATGGCAAAATTATAAACTTTTGCTTCATTAATTAGACTTGTTAAAAATAAAAAATTGAATAAATTATAATACGAAAAAATTTTATGAGAAAAAATTAATTTAATAACATTAACCTTATCAGGCTCACTTGACCACACAGAACTGTGAGAGTTATAGTTAAAAATAGTGTTTCTATCCCAACACAAGTCATTCACTAAGCCGTCAAAGACATCAAGAACACAAAAGAAAAAATTGACTTTTCCTTTAGAAAGGAGAACTAGCTAGATTAACGGGGCGTCTTCAAGAAACTTAGCGGAAACTACCCGCATATAATAAAGGCGTTAGCATACTCAAAAATCGACACAGGTGAGACGGTAATTGCCCAAGGCTTAAACTATCATGGAGTTTTTAATAATAAAAGCAAGTTTTCGACGCGCGTCTAAGAACATGTAACTTTCCAGAATAACGTACAACCCTGAGTCTCTAGCTGACTAAGAAAGCCACCATATTCGCCACTGCCCGTTGGTTAAAGAATTATTGTGATGACAAGAGAGCGGCATTGGGTGTTGACGAGCGATTTATTCTAGCCGAGATAAGCTTACATTCGTTTGTCTATCATAAAACACAAACTTTCTAGTGAACGTCAGGACTTACATTCATAATAGAAGTGGAATTTGTATAGATCGATATTTTTTGGCCGCCTAAAAAGCGATATGGAGGAAACTAAGATATTATTACTTCGAGCCTCCAAGGTAAGCTAACATTTGACCTGCGCCTTCGTTTTAATCATTAAAATAGACCGAAGCTTACACAGCAGTGGTCACAGTCTCTTAAGAAGGTTGTTCAGACCTGAAGGGATAAAGGCTTTCTCTTATAAAGGATTTTAGAAGAAGTAGATTATACATAATGACCGCTTTCAGAGTCACAACATACTACAAAGAGCTATAAAATATCTGAAAAGGTATACTAGTAAGTAGCAGTATTTTTTTATTTACTCAGGTTTTGATACTACACTAAAAGCCTAGCCAATGATACACTTAATACCTATTATACTGTCTATTAATTACTATTATTTTTATGGCACCGCACTCCTCGTACAACATTTATTTGTTTATTAATGACAGTTCCTGGTGCTCGATCGAGTTAAAAACTTCCATTACTCGAGCTCTCAATCAGTAGTGATCGCAGACATACTACAAATAGCATTGAGGGTGTTCATCAATTTTTTTTACATTAAGAAAAACAAAAAACTAGCGCTTACGCGCCGAAAGAGGGCGGCGGTTAGTGCGCCTGATGAGCCTGACTTAAAAGACAACGGCCTGACGTTGGAAGACAATTTTCAAAGGGTCCAGCTGAAGACCCCGGTGAAGAGCATCATATGCACTAACTACGGAGTCTTTGTCAGAATTGTCAGTCACGCAGCAACTTGTTCTGTCTTACTTGAAGTGCCGACGCTATCGTATTAGAGTCGTAGGTCCAAGCAGCAGATGCGTATGTCATTATTGGCTGGATGTAAGACAAATACAACTGAAGCCTGTTTCGCAGGGAAAGCTTACTCTTGCCGCAGAGGTAAAAGCATAAAGCGCCTTGGTAACTGCCTTGACCATCGCCACTACATAGCCCACGTGAGGTCGCCAGAAATTTTTTGTGGTCGATGATGATTCCCAAGTATTTCGCTTGAGAATACCGTGGAATCTTCACGCCATTAAAGATTAAGGGCACCAGCAAAGGGATGCGTTTCTTTGAAAATTAATATAGCTTTGCTCTCCATCGCATTTATAGTAACCTTCCAGTCACGGCACCAGAGAAAAAGGGTATTAAGATAGCGCTGTAAAGGGTTGCATGGCAATGAGGGGAGACTGAAGATAAATATACGGTGAAATCATCAGAGCAGAGGGTGATTCTTGTGTGTGGATCGGATGGCAATGGCACGTCGTACATGTAAATTGCACATGAAAGGGGCGAGAGAAGTAACCCCTGAGGAACCCATGCTGTCAGAGATCGAAGCGGAATCGGGTATCTCCCGGGCGCAAGACGCGACCATACAGATATGACTTCAGCACGTTATAAAGGCCATGTGGGATAACCCGCGCAGTTTGTGCAGCAGACCTTCATGACCAACTTGATTAAATGCCTTTTCAACGTCAAGAAAGACAGCGCCTGTTGCCTTCTCAAGGTTAAAAGAGCGAGTGGTTCCTTCAGTTAAGAGGAGGAGCTGTGGGGCCATTGGATGTCCTAGCCGAAATTCAAACTGAAATTCCGGTAAAGCCTTCCGACCTTCAACGACCTCTTTAAGAGCCGCAGTAAAACAGACTCATCCACTTTGCCGGCCACTGACAATAGGCTGATAAGTCTGTACTTGCTAGATGCTGATCCCAATTTGTGTTTTTGGTAGCATCACTACGATCGCCGTCTTCCATCGAATCGGAAGGCGCCAGGGAGCATCGAAGATTTTATAAGGAAATAAAGATAGTGCATCCCTATTAATGGCATTTTCTTCAGCATCTCATTAGGGATGCCTTCGGGGCCAGGGGTTTTTTCGTTTAGGTAGCGCTTCCACTATTGCTTGCACCTCGTCAAATTAACTGGATTAATTGGTTCGTAGTTAACGGGAGGGGTAGGCTCAAATGAGGAAAAGCATCACCATTAGCAATATAGTGAGCAGCTGGCACATTTTGGATAGCAAGAACATTGGCGTAAAGCGTAGCTTTACCTCCATCACTTTCGGCCACTATAAGTTCCTACACGAAGGGACAGTAGTAGTAGTGCAAGCCCCCGAATTTTGATTCTTTTAACAAATTTCCAAAAGGAGGAGCGCTTACTGCTGCTGATTCTGTTGATATACGATGCAGTTTGCTTTCCCATTAATTATTAAAATGGGTAATTAGCTTTTTCTAATGTTGTGAAGCCTATTAAGCGCAAATTTATCTTCGGCACTCTGCGACAGCATGGCTACACGAATAAGACATAGATGTTGGCAGATAAGCGCCTTCAGTACGTCAGGCAGGTTACCGGGGCGATACGTTACTTCACGAATTATCTGGGCAGTAGTGTGAGCCATGTTCAGAGCGTTTTTGAAAAAGGCAAGGTATCACCCAACAGGGAGGGCGTGGCAGGTAAGGACGGCCCCGGCGACAGAGTGATTTCTAATACATCAGTATATTTGTCCCTCGTACAACACCAGCCGCGTAATATATTTACGTATTGTGTAACAGCGCTATCTTAAAGAGTACCATTCTCTATTTCTTATCAAGGAACTAGAAAACAGCCTACTTCTAACTACTGACGAGCGAGAGAGGTCCTAACCAAACAATGGTAATAACTAAACCTAAGTTCGACTTATATTTGGAAACTAACTTTAGAGAGGGGTAAAGTGTTATAGTAGACAATCCCTTAAACAATTCTGATATTAACCGCCAATCTAATAAGGTTAGAGCTCCGCTTTTTACAAACAGGTAACTCAAATCTCTGCTAGGAGGAGTAAGGAGCGGTAATTATGTTTCACTGGAACGACTTTTACGTACAGAGTTGTTCCAGACCCTTTTTTCTGAATCATAGTGTAGGCCCCTTCTAAAATGAGCGTGGAGGGGTAATAATATTTTTTTCATTAGAAAATCATTCATCCATAAAACAGTCGAGTCGGGACAATATACTTTTTCAGCTGTAATTACAAGTCATCGTTCGGAGCTATTTATAAACTGTGTTTTGTTTAATTTTTTTTTGCGCATTTGTGGTGTTTTGCATCTGTTAAAGCGCCTATTGGTGATAAAACTATCAATTCTGGAGCGCGAGATATTCAGTTTGTGCTCCTAGCAATTTTATTTTTTGGGGAAATAGCAGAAGGCCAAGGGGATATCATGCCCAGACTTCTGATTTTATCCTGTAAGCACGTAAAAAACACAGGAAAAATCGTCATACTGATAAACAACTTCATAATGTAGTTAATATCCAAAATTTGTTGAAGTTATCTTTCTCTCGTGGAATAAAAATACATGCACTTTTATTCTACGTCTCAATTTTTTTTTTAACTTTTATGACATTATTACGACAGCATACACAGAGACCACTTAATTTTATTAAATCTCGAATAATTGTGGTATATATATAAATATAAGAGAAAAATAATAAGTTGGGTTATTGAAGTTCCTTGTTATAGTAAAACTGTTAGAGAACTTGTTGGTGTTAAACCGACCTTCTAGCTCGTCACCTCATCTAGTTTATTTAAATTCTCATCTTTAAGCACATTTTTAAATTAACTTGTTAAGTACGTAAATCCACCATATTTAGGTTAGGAGTTGTCTTCTTTGCTCAGTGGTTAGAGCACTGACAAGAAAAATAGTACGGGATTAAATTGTCGCCAGTGCGTGTTACTCCCTTAAAGCAAATTTTTAAATTGGTGTTGGTGTTCGATAATTGCTCTTTTTGCAGTTTAAAATGTTTACGAACTTGAAATATTTATTATAAATTCTAAAATTTTATACATAAATATCTAAATTATTTATTTAACTTTGATTATTTAAAGGGAGAGCCCCCAGCTAAATATACATTTAATAAACTAAGATTACAGCTTGGGCGAAGGTAAAATATGAATCAAAAAAGCGGAGAGGTTTTTCAGTTAGGTTTAAAACTAATTTTGACTTACAATTGTTTAACTTAAGGGAATAATTTTTAATAACGAAGGCTGAAAACTCTAATAATATAAGTTTGAAAGTTCCTTCCTATTATAAATAAGTAGAAAGTTCATTCACTAGGTTAATTTATGTTATATTCGCTATTTTTAATATTAACAGTATCTATGTTACCTTTTATTATCGTAATTGTTATTTATCAGTAAGTTTTTTAGTGCGATTCCACACTTAAATTGTAGCCACGTTTTTAATGACCTATATATTCATTAAAGGTTCAAGTTAGTGTTTTCTGTACGCCTAGCATTGTTCCATATAAGCAGTGTCGTTCTTAAGTATGGCATATAAACAAGGTTATATGTGTTTATGTGTTCACATTACAAAATTCTAAAGCTACACTATTCTAAAGGATATGAACCCGTTAAAAACAATTATCACCTCTATATAGCTTAATGCGTGAAAACTACGTAAACCACATGGTACTCAACCAAGAGTTGGAGCAAACCTCTATAAAAACCAATAATTATTTTCTTTATAAAAACCTTGACTTTTTATTTTTTTTAACATTTCTAAACTTGGACGTAAATTACGCAATGCCTATTTTAGAAGGACAAATTTGGGTAAAAAATTATAATAACGGAATGATGGTTACACCATTGCAACCTGTACATCCTATCCTTATTGGATGCTCGTTATAAGGTTGCCCCATGTATGAGCATCTGCCCGTTTTGCTTAAATTAAGCGTTTTTCAAAGATTAGTAATATATACTTCTTACTGAATACATTCTTCTACGTTTTTTTTAAAATGTTATAGGACTAATCGCATATTTTGTAAATATATATTATTTAACTCATTATTTATTATTTTATTATATGAACTTTCTCTTTTGAGCGTCAAGTGTTTAGTAACGATTGGGGGCCTTCCTTATAGAAAAGTAAAAGATTTAAGAGGGAGAAATTTTCAAAACTAAGCCGAAGTTACTGCTGAACGGAAATCTGAAAGCATACTCAAGGATTTTATTATTCATTATCGCCTTAGAAAAACTGATATGGAAAACATTGATAATAAGAAAAGTGATATTTGTTACATTCAAAAACGTCATAAAATAAACAAACCGACTAATCTTCTTTTCTCGAATTCAGGTTTATTGACTGTAAAGAAAGCTGGTGAGAAGGGCGTTACTTCTTACAATAGCGAGGAGAGAAAACTATCCGATTATCAAGAGATAAAAAAGGGAAAACCCAAGTTAAACAAAAACCACAGTTATGGTAATATTTTTAGCCTTTGGAAGGATAATGCTCATCGTTCCAATGAAAATGAACAATCTTCTAGTGGAAAAGAGAAACCTATACCTAGAACAACTAGTTTTAAAGAAGTATGGGAAGCCGTTTCTCATTTTCACTTGCCCCACGGTCACTCATTCAAATCTCGGCATAATTTAAAATCTCCTCTTGGTACAAAATTTCTTGAGATGGGGCGGTTAGGATTTAATCACTTCACTGTTGTAAAACAAATTGGTTCTGGTAGTTTTGGAAGGGTCTATCTTTGTAAGCACAAGGTTACTGGAGAATTAGTTGTCATAAAAGCTTTGGACAAACGTTTTGTTGTTAAAACTAAACAAGAAAGTCAAGTAATGGAAGAAAAACATATTTTAAAGCTGTTGGGACAACACGGTTGTCCCTTTACTGTAAAAGCCTTAGCAAGTTTTCAAGACCTATACATGCTTTACTTTGTTATGGAGTACATAGCTGGAGGGGAACTTTTTGCTCATCTAGAGGCTGCTCGTCATCACAGATTTAGTGAAAAAAGAGCGAGATACTATGTCGCCGAATTAATTCTAGCCTTAAAATATATGCACGAAAAAGAACACATCGTTTACCGCGACATTAAACCCGAAAATATGTTGTTAGATAAAAAAGGCCACCTCAAATTAATAGATTTTGGTTTTGCAAAGCAGCTTGGGGGAGAGGAAAAAACATACACTTTTTGTGGCACCCCCGATTATCTTGCACCTGAAGTATAATATTAACGCAAAGGTTTTTTACTTGGTGCTCAGCTTAATGCTTTTTTAGGTTATTACGAGAAGGGGCTATAATTATGAAGCTGATTTATGGAGTTTGGGGGTCTTGATTTACGAATTGGTAGTGGGACATGCACCGTTCGTCACCGTGAATCCACATTCTAAGGAGGTTAAAAAAAATTATTTATAATTGACTAATTTAACGCTATATATCGAATTTTTAATTTACAGGTTGACTATAAAGCTATTTTGACCGGACAATTTTTTTTACCCTCTCATCTTTCTACCGCCGTTAAAGATCTTATCGTAAGCTTGTTGCAGGTCGATAGGAAGTACGTATACCTGATTCTTTGTTATTCCTTGCCAAATTTTATATTTTTTGGTATTGTATGGAAGTTATCGTCTTGGGGCGAAAAATGGATTATCTGACGTAATGAACCATCCCTGGTTCGCTGGGGTGGATTGGGGAGGCATGTTGAAGAAAACTGTTAAACCGCCAAAGCCTTATCATTTTAAAAAGGGGCTTGTTAATATCCAGCTTGGCGGTGGTAAACTGGGTAGTTATGGTTTACTTTACGTAACTAGTTTGTGGTTATTTTATCTGTCGCAGATCCCAGCAAACTTGGAGATGTGGACCAATCGCTTTTCACTCATTTTGATTTTAACTTGGAAACTGAGAGCGACTTAAGCGATGACGTTACTTCAGCTTCTACACGTTGGAGCAGCAGCCCTCAGATAGCAAATGGCCAGGATACTCATCCTCCACTATCCGCCAGCCAAGTAGGAAAAAGCCAGTTATCCAGCCATAGTGCCGAGCTTTTCCTTGTTAAGCCTGATAAGGAAAGTAGAGGCCTCAAAAAAACTGTTGTGTTTTCTATCGGGGGAGACGAAAGTGAAGAGTATGGCAACAAAACTTCTGAACCCAAATAATTTTTTTTATTGCGACTCTTTGGGTGGCAGATTTTGTTTTTTTTATCATAACATTATCGTAGATAGCTTTTATATAATTTCTTATTAAAAACATTTAGATTTCCAAGTTTAATATTATTTCATAATTTTAAAGTTAAATAATAATTGCCTTGCGCTACACCTTAGACTCTCTCCCCTTAACCGGTCACGTTGTAACAATTATTATATACGTTGTTGTATTCATTTTTAACATATCAACATTTTTTTAATATTTCTCCTCTTTTAGGCGTTGGTTGTTCTAATCGTGCGTTATATTTCTTTTAGCTTATAAAGTTCATTAGTCTTCATTGGAGCTTTTAGATTTAACCGCATTTGGTTAACACACCCTTTCCGTATGTTTTTGTAATTACTTGATTGGTGATGTGAATTTTCTGTACTTAACGGCACTATAGCTTACTACACAGGGAGTTATTGCAGTCACTATGAAAAAAAAAAAATTAGAACTAGTATTGCTCTCAAATTTAATAAACTAAACTCTGGCTTTACAGGAAAATACTTATTTTCTCTTCTTAAGTCACTGTGAAATATAATTTATATAACTTATATGAAGCCATTCTTTCGGCGGGGATAGAATATACAGGATTTAGATAATGTATTTTACATGTATATATATCTAACCCTTGGCTTTTTTAATTTGTAGTATATTTCTAACACAAAAGCTTCGGTAAAAGGAGGGGGGGGGGGGTTAATATAACAATTGACAGTTTACAGCAGTCCTTTAGAAAAATGTAATTTGTATTAGGACAAAAATATATTTTAACTTAAACTGTGCTGGTTGCCGTCTCTCCATGAACGTGCACATTTTGTTTTATATAAAAAATTGCTTATGGCTTCTACTGTTTAAGATTAAGGTTAGGCTTTAATTTTAGAACTCTAAATATTTCCTATGTGATACACAGTTAACTTTTAGCGTTCGTTAATACAGACAAAATTTTCTAAATATTTATAGCTCAAGTCGGTCAATTAACTGAACAATCCATGACGTCGACAGTTTGATTTTTGTTACCTTGTTATAAATTTTTTTTTTGTAGTGTACGTTACAATAACGCAGATTAGAAGCAAGAACAATCCATTATTCTTTAATTGCGTTCTCACCAGCACAGGAACACTCCCCTTCCCCCCCACGCTTGACGAGCAAGTACACAAAAAGTTGTTTGCTGACCTTTGCCGAAACAACGATAGAGAGACAAGGCGATTCGGGTAGTGGCAGTGGTTTTTTAATAGAATAAGCGTATCAGTAGTTCCTATAATGAGTGTAAGGTTATTTTATAACGAAAAAAAAAACCGCTTGAACTTTCTAAAGATAACAAGTAGGGGTAATCGATAATAAATACAGTAGTAGATAGCTAAATTGTTAGAGGTTTGATAGTAGGTTAGATCTCAAGAAAACCTATGCACTTAATCAATTAACCAAAATTTTTCGAAATTATAAAAAATTTAAAAACGAGAGTAGATTACGTACTAACAGGAAAAGTATCTAACAACTTAGAATCCATTTTTAATAGTTCTGATATTAAAAGATATTATATTTCGAGATAAATAGCATACTATAAGTCACGTAAATAGACAGAATAACGTTATTTAATAGTTAATGCTTAAAAAAATAAAAGGTAAGTAACAAACCGAAAACAAGTATAACCTAATATTGTGGTATAATAGATCTTTATGGGCTATTGCACTGTGTATTACTCACTTTTTGTTATATCAATATGTTAAATCCTGAAACGAAACTGTCTACACAAGTTTTTTTTTGGTCGTGTGTTGACTTAGCGAAAGTCACAAATGTTTCGGAATAGTTCAAACAAGATATTATACATAACAAATTGATCTTCATGTTCTGTTGCAACATCTATTACTCAATTAACGTTTATAAAGAACTTGACGTTTATATGTATCACTAGAATTTTAGATTTTGTGAGCCATACACCTAAATTCTTTTTTTGTTCGTGTGCTGACTTAATTAAAGTCATAAAAGTTTCGAATTAGCTCAAAATAAGAAAACAGACTTTATTATAAGCAGCAATTTTTAAAAAAAATTGTCAGCCCTGAAAAGTTCGTTGACTAAATAAATCGAGAGTAACTGAGCTCAGAAAAGCAGGTATAGAGTTGCAGCGTAATAAATATGCCTTAAGAGCAATAAACTTTACAAGGATCTGACATCCGGGAATTAATTTCTAACAAACCTCAATTTTATTTTCAAGGGTTCGAGAGAAGTCAGTCTCTAGTAGCTCTATTTTACCTCCTTGCGTCTGAAAAAGTAAAAAATCTTCATTTTCTCCGTATATAGACGTAAGCTTATACCTAATATTAAAAATTTGGATCTACTATTTAAAAGTCTTTTAACGTATAATCATATATAGAGTAAAGTACTGCTCCGTGTCAGATTCAACGACGTTCATCTCAATAGTAAAACCAAATAATGCAAATATAGACCTTTTAAACTTGCTGCTTTTAGAGTTAAATATCTAAATTAATTAAAGTTAACTTTTAAAATTCTTAAATTAAATAACTCATTGGGCAAAGTATGAAGGGATATAAATTACTAGAAAATTAAAACCAACCTGCTTTAGTCGTTCTAGTTGCAAATCTTTTGATCTCATCAAGACTTGTACTTTTTCAGAAAGGAGCTTAGGAAAAAATATTAAGAAATTTTTTAAAAAAAAAAGTAAACAAAAAAAACTTCATTATTTTTAGACCCAGAGATAGATAGCAAACAGGACGGGTTATTTCTCATAGCAAGAATCTAAAATAATTACTAAGTAAACTTCGCAAAAGTGGTAAAAAGAGCAATCTAGACGAATTAAATAAAGAACAGAAAAAATAATAAAAGGATCGTTAACATAGGCTTAATAATATAAGATGGTTTAATAAAAATTAAGTAGAATGCATGAAAAACATGTAAAAATATTTTTATCTTTAAACGAAAAATTGGTAGTTAAAAGTTCGAATGTTGCACTTTCATAGAGGGAGTTGTAAAACCTTTCCTCCAGAGAAGTCATGGCTCTGCTTCTCAGTCAAATCAGAATCCTTTTACACGCACTGAGAATAAGAAGATAACGATCATAAAAGAAAATAAACCTTATCTTTAAAAAATGCAACTTCTTTTTCTAAACTTTTTATTTTCTCTTAGTTTAGTAAAAATCTCTCAAAAATATCATTATAAGTAAAGAATGTTAAAAAAGTATTACCCTTTGCATTTATTAGTTCTGTTTGTAAAGTATTGATTTCCTCTTGTTCTACTTGCCTTTGTTTGGTGTTAAGGCAATTAAGCAAATCCTCATTTTGACATCTTTAAATAGAGAACTAATGTTTCAATCTTCGAAAGTAAAACTATTTTAATAATACAAATTAAAAAAACTCTACCTCAGTTCCTTGTTTTCTAAATAAAGAACTTCATTACTTCTCTTAATAAGTAAGGAGGCATCAATTTTAAACTTTTCTTCAAATTTTTCAAGCGTCGCTTGAAAACTCTAAGCAAGTTAAATACAAAAAATAAATTTTTAAAAAGTTATATAGTATACCTGAACTAATTCACTTAAAGAATCCCTTTCCAATTTTAAAAATTTTAACTTGCAGAGTAAAAACTCCTTTTCACTGTCCATGCTGTAGTAAACTACTATTCTATTTTTCAAGTGACGGATCTTACAAATTTATTAAAATTCAGTTTCCCTAAATCTTAAAAAATAAAGAGGGATGTCTTAACTTTATCTTAAAAAAACTAGATAAGGCACTTCAGCGACTTAATGCCCTATGTGTTAGCTCGCATGATTAAAATAGTAAAGAGATCAGAGAAGTCTGCCTTGATAAAATAGCAATAAGCTCCCTGTAAAAAAGGTAATGGGTGTATCTTTAAAAGATTAAATTTTATAACAAAATTCTAAATAAACTGATTTTGTTTTTAAATACCACTTTAGTTGACTTAAACAGATGCTTTATATCTTCGAGGGAAGTTATGCTTAGCCCAGACATGGGGCATGAGGTTGCCCTCTGTGTATCTCGTGTCCAGAATGATGGCAGACCGGCCATTCAAGTAAACATTCGCGAAGCTCCCTCTTTAAGATAGCGGGCAAACAATTCTTTAAAAGACATTTCTCCATTATGTTTGAGGTTAGGGCCTTAAATCCTTATGAAATGCGCATTAGGGTCGTAATATATCTTTGCAGATGTGATAAACTTAGTTAACGATTAAGCTGTTATTATAGCTGTGTTTTAGTAAAGTCTAAAATTGGAGTAGATTATACCTATAGAATAGTGCTTTCTGCTGTAGTTTACAGGTTTTCTAAATAAAAGTTGGGGTGATCAAGCTTAGAAAAAAAAACATAATTTTTTACAGTTGGCAGTTACGATTCATTGAGAACTTATAGACATGGTGCATTCGTACATTACAAAAAAAAATACTTTTAGTTGGATTCAGGAAGATGAGTGCTCTAATATGTTTGAGACGCTTACGTTATAAAAGCATAGCTTAATGCTAAACGCAGACAACATTTTTAAATCTCCCGTAGCTAAAATTTTAGTGCCCAGTGAAATTTTTTTGTTGACAGGTCAGAAAACAGCAGCAGATGGCCTAAAAAGCAGGATTTGTGTTGCGATTTTTCAGTTAACGTGAAGTGTCGTTGTGTACAAAATGTGTCGCCCTACACGTCTGTTATATTAACTTGTATTACCGCTCTGCCGGTGATGCACCGACAACTTAGACAAGTTTAAGTACAAGTCTTGTGAGTGGGTCGCGCACACATTGCGCATGAGTGGATCTTGCATAGTAGCGGACCAAAACTTGCGTTATTACCTTTTCACCTTCGCCGTGACAGTCACTGCAGTGATGACCACCGTGTATTTCGCTTGGGTTCTCCAAAGAGTCTTCGCGCTCTGTAACAAATGATAGGAGTCAACGTAACGGCTTCTATAAATTGTAAATTTTTGTCCCTCGCCGTTTTCGGTGTCACTCCCCAACGTCTACACTACCTGGCAAATATTTCCAAGAAGCCTTGTGGAAGCAGACATATTAACTTACAACTCTTTAACGACAATATTGGCAACGGTGTCAATTTGGCAGTTCAAACCATTTATAAATTTAAAGCCAAGAAAGAGTACTAATATATATTCCAACGAAAACTGCAGGAAAATAAGTGTCACAAAAACGAGGTTCCGACTGCTTTGGACATAAAAATCTGTACAATTTATTTGCGGTAATTTTGTTTGCGTATTATACTATAATTTTACCTAAATGTTAGGGGTTATTTTTACAGCACTATTATAAAAGATCGTTCGACCAAGATAATAAATATAACAAGTTTAACTAAAGTTACAACGCCTTTATATTGAGCAACCCTACGTTCTTCCGCTTATTTAAAAGTAAGATCTCTAAACTAGGGAAACTTTGAATAGTTTTTTCCTTCTTTGCTAATACTTTCCAGAACTTCTTTATACTTAAAATAATGACTTGCTTTAAGTTTAGTAGTTTCTTTCTAGCATGAAATCCTTTATTCTGAAAAACAAAACAATAAAATAAGACATTTCTCTAAATTTTATTGTTAATCCTTAGGGACTAAAAATATATAGGTGCACTCAAATTTTATGAAGGTACAGGTTCGAGAACCTACACCATATAATAAACACTATAAATCCTTTTTAAAGATAGAGAAACTTGGTTAAACATGGATAATAGCCGCGAAGTGTCAAGTGCATATTATTGTGGGACTTCCGGCTTAAGGCTTTAAAATACGCTTTTTATCCGGTTCAGTGACTCCGTTAACCTTAAATTAAAAATACAGTCAATAAATAGGTACTTTAAAAAAAAATTATCACTAGCTTCAATTTTACCTAATGAAAAGCCCACATTGTACACAGCTTACCTTTTATTTGATTGTAATGGTATAGAAGACCGTATGAAGAGACGTTGTAACTAAAACTACTAAAAAAGAGAAATGGAATTTGTTTTTTTTTTTTTAAATAAGAGAATATTTGCACATATCGTTAGAGTAGAGTAGTCATCTTACCTATCTGAAACATTAGCGTTTTGTTTTTTGTGGTTTAGTGTATATGTTAACTCGATACTGGTGAGGTAAAATTTTAATAAAGAAACTGGTGACGTGGGGTTTGCTAAACCTTATATAAAAAAACGTTTTTTTTTTTAAAAAAAAATTGGCGAGAACCATTTTTTTTTTAAACTAATTTTTATTAATTTGGGATCTCTAAATGATTCCATACAAAAAAAAAAACTAAAATTAAAAAAATTGTTTGTAAATGTAAATTTTTGTTATGAGGAAAGCATATTGACATTATGTTTGTTATTTTGATAATAGAACAAGCTGAAACATAAGCAAACGCTGTGTCAGTAATAGCTTCTAAGGAAGTATCCTAGCTATAAACAACATAGTATATTTAAATTAACTTCTCTTTCCATTAAGTCGAAACGATGGTTGGTTATGGGTTTTCTGAGTATTTGTGAGATTTTCAGTAGCATCTCACGAAGTAGACAACTGTTAAGTAGCCTTTTGTTCAGTTGCGGCTCTATTAATTATTTTTAGCAAAATTTTTAATATATACAATTCTCTTCTGCGCGGAATTTCAAGGAAACTAAAATAACACGTAAGCATTGAGGCTTATACTTTATGAGTAAAGAATACAGCTTGAGGCCCTCGGGTTGTAGGGGGAAGGGTGGGAGAGGTGGGGTCGCCAATTAGTAGAGTAAACGGTGCACTTTCATCCCAAGCGCCCACCCCCACTTTGGTTTCATCGTAAAACTTAAGGATTTCTGCTTTTTTAGACATTGGGTAAATACGGCTATCATGGTGCACTGACGGTTAGGAGCACAACTTTATCCTTCTTCGGCACAAAGGACACTAAAATGAGGCCTTTAGTAAAACCGAAATTGGCGGGCATTTCTTCTTTTCCTTCCGCAGAATGGAATTTTTGCGGTACTTCTCTTTTGTTCTTTTTCAGGGTCTCAAAGAAAGTCAGTTGTTTCTTCTTTAGTTCCAGTGCAGAAGGGATGGAAAACACCAATTATTAGCAGTAATGTTTCTGTTTGTGGTATGGATAGATGAAGCCCCATGTAAATTGGGCTGAGCTCCAGCTACGGACGGGGTAAATCCATCGCTGTTTTTACCAATAAAAAAGGTAGTGGGTTTTCGCAACTCTCAAAACAATAATTTTCAAACCGTATTTTTGTAGTTTACATTTCATATACACGCGTAATTACGTAGTCCCCTAATCCAATAAGTATTTCGTCTACGCAAGAGTTGACAATTTTTCACAAACGTCTTTTTAATACCCACTATATTACCGCCGTTGTACTAGTTTTATTTCTCTCTGCTATATCAGATGCATTATCAAAGTAAAGGCATGCTAGATTGACCAGTGATCGCTTCAAGGTCTTCATGAATCAATTTGAAAACAAGAATATACCCAGGAACCCTAGGAACACTTTAAATTCTATATTTACATCTCTGTAACTGTACACATCTTCTGAAGAGTACCGCGACCTAACCTACATCAACCTTTTGTTTATCCTTTAAGTTATTTCTTTCAAAATTTTCCTGTGTGCAATAGCTCCTAAGGAGAAAGCTGGGTACAATACTTTTCTCTCTGCTTTAATAGACCAAAATTGTCTGGAAGATATGTTAATAATGCTATGCTTCCTTGGTTGGACTTTTGACTTTAGAGGTTCTGCAGACCGTTTGAAAGTGTTCATTCCATAGAATGCTTTGGGTTTTGTCTTTTGCTTCTTTCTGTAGTTGGCTGATCAACAAATTCGATAAAAATTCCTCAGGTTCAGCTTCCACGAGCTCCTATTCGGAATCGCTCTCATGTTCACTTAAGAAGCTCGGCGTAATAAATGTCTCCTTCCTTACCTCTATAAATCCTCTCTGACTCATTTAAAAAATAGTATCTTTACCCTTTCCTCAAAATCGGGGCCATCTGATATCACCGCACGTCCTGAAGACGTTGAACCTATTACACAACTAGGGGTAAGAACAGTAACGAAAGTAGTGGGGTGAGGCTTGAGAACCCCCAAATTGGATTTGTGGGGATATAGTTCGAAATTAAACAATTGCGTGTAACGTACCGGTAGGGAACGAACTGACTAAAAGGTGGGTAATGAGCGATCTTCCACTACCTATCATAATGTAGCAACAAATCTATATTATTCACTGGGGTTTGATATTCCCCACTTCACCCGTTAGGGGTTACGGGATAAATGAAGCCTATTAATTAAAGTATCCAATAAAATAAATGAAGCCTATTAGTTAACATATTATCCAATAAACAGGCTAATCTTTACACTTTTATAAGTTTATCAGCTTTGGTTCTCCTACCAAATATTACAATGTTGTTTTTATGCAGGTCGCGGGGTGACTATAATAATTAATAACAGATAAACTTTTTAATTTTAAATTCTACGTTTATTACTTCAAATAAATTACTTTGTATTCTGTACTATATATATTTGATCTCAAACTAGGTTTAAAAAAAAATAGAAGAACAAATTAGTAAAACCTTTCTTGAATATATTTTATAAGAAAAAGAATTAAAAAGTTTGTCGACACTAAACTAAAGTCAAAATTAAAAATTCAACATTATTACTTTATCCAAAGCGGCTCAGCAAGTAATTTTCTTCTCTAAACTTTATTTTGGATTAAAATAGTAATTTACAAGTTACTTAGCTATACAGTATCTGTTATAACTTTAACTTAAAGTTTACGACGCGTTAATTATTAAAAGAAATAGCTAAGTAAAGCTTAAGAATACTTGAGGGCGGCTTTTGGAAGAATAAAACTCAGAAAAATCAAAGAAAACGAGGAGAGTAACACTATTCCTCTTTAGTTGTAATTGTACAATATCCCTACACTTCCTTTTTAGTTGTAATTGTACAATATCCCTACACTTTGTGCATAACCGAAAAAAAGATAGCAGTGTTCCCGCTTAACCCATAATAAGGCTGAGATGGTTCTCCCTAAATTTTCGTTCATATATTATGAAAGAAAATTTATAAATTCATATTACAGTTAATTTCTCATCATTTTCTTGCGTAGATTTAAATATTAAACTCAAAAAATAAAATTTAGTAGCTTAATAATACCAGTTTCTTTATTAAATGCTCGGCATCATATACCTTCACATACGAAAACATGCTTTGTATCTAGTGTGCGGCCAAAATTTCTAGTGATTGCTGACTCCACTATTTACGATAAGTATAGGTTAGGAATTCATCAAAACTACATATATTTTCTACTAAAAGAATAACATATTCTAAATATTGAACTGTTTGTATCAGGAAGCATTAAAAAGTAAAAAAAAACTTAAATCCTTACAATAGCACAACTTTTCGGGTCACCTAGCCTCAACTATGGGATCCTTTTTGTACAAATCTTTTGAACCATTAATATTTTTTACAGGATTAGAGGAAGTTAAAGGTGCACAACATAGAAAGACTGTTGTTCTGGAAGTTTTCTTAAAGGGTTTTTTGCTAACAATATTTAGTGAAGAAACTGCTAAATTAATTTGGGAAAGCTTCCTTGATCGTGAAATTAGCCGTTTACCCTTTAATTATTGTAGCAAATCTTTAGATTCAACATTTATTAAAGATTCTAAATCTTTAAATGAGGACGACCCCAAAATTAAAGTTATTCTATAAACAGTTTCTGTTTTTACCTGTGGAGCCCACTATAATAAATTAATTTCTATTAAAAGGTTTCCTGGCTTAAAAAGCACTTATATCGCGTCCCCTCGGTACTGGTAGCTTTTTTCTGTCTAGAATGGAAGATGAAAACTGGGGAATAAAAGGTTGGAAAGCATTTCTTCCCGTATAAACTTAATTCGGCAAATCTTATTTTTATTATTAGACAATTAAATATTTTTAGGATAATTGCATACTACTTTCTACGCTGTATTAGGATTAACTTATGCGGTAAAGCTACAAAAATGGTTGTTCTTCTGCAACAGAAATTCGGTTTTTCATTATTATAAGATAATACTTTTACTTTCTTTACCAAAAATTTGTTTTATTAGTTGGCACGGAAAATGAATCAGCTGCTCCCCAATTCCGTAAAGCTTGTGGGGTGGAAGGCAAAAATTCTTTGTTTATTCTTCCTTATAAACTTATTGAGCCAGTTGGGTTTAACAAATATATATTCAGGTAAAAAGTAAAGTAATTATTTTTTTTTTAAAAATTAAATTTTTTATACTTAATTTTAATGTCTAAACTACGTCCAAAGGTTGAGCACAGTATTCAGAATCCTTTCGCAAGATTATTATAGCGAACTTTTAAAGAAGAAAAGAGCTCTTCTATCTTCTTCACCCTCCTTGGAGGTAGCATTCAGATCCCCTTGGGTTTACACTTTTATATAATTAGTTGATCTCTACTTGATTTTTTTGCAGGATAAGATATCAGATGGGCGTATTTTACGAGTTGAGCGACTATAAAAAAGATGCGTTTCGCTTGCATGCCCAAAGTTACGATAACTTGCTGTCCCTTTACAGTAGCAAACCTTTTCTTCCAGTAAAAGTAGCCAGCAGTATGGTGCTCTACAGAGTATGTTCATAAAATACATTTTCAAATTTCAAGAAAGTTTTTTAATCTTTTCGTTACGCACTAGTTATGCCTTTACCGCATGAAGAACCAGAACTTGGAAGAAGCTCTTTCGTGTTTTCACCAACAACTTCTTTCGGGTTTGTGTGGGTTCTAATATGTTTCTTCAGCCTGATTATTTTTTTAAAGGATTCTGTACGAACAAGTGCGACAGAGCATCTTTATTATCTTCTATGGCTCACTAAGCAGTTCGAGGCCTTTGCGGGGCTGTTTGAGGACTGCGCTGAGCAGTATGGATTGGAAAAGATAATCACGAGACATCCCGGTTTTTATTACTTGGATGGAGCCGCCTACACCCGGATGTACCATGAACTTCTGCGCTCGGTCAGGGAGGTAGATAGCGTTTTGACTTTAGTCTTCGTCGTATTCAACTCACGCGCATGGATAAAGAAGACTGTTACTGATCGAAAGGAGCTAGCATTAGCGGTGGGCCTTATAACATACGACCAAAACCATATAGAAAGTATCACTTCGTTACTGGTTCCTCACTTCCTGCCGGCTCACTAACGTTATTTACTTTGTAACTTATATAGAGGAAACCCAAACATTGGCGTACTGCGTGGAGTTGTTGCCTAAGGTTTAGGATAAAACTCCTTTAAGCTGCTTTTGCATACGTGTATACCATTTGACTAACTAGGCACGTGCTCACTTTGAAGGTTTCAAAAGTACGCGGATGGTGCGTTATTATAACTCTCGCGTGGCTTTTCTTTTTCTCCTCATCAATCAACATGAAAGCTCCTACGCGTAAGTTTTTTTGGACCGTGACTGACCGCAGGAATGCATTGGCCTCACGCCTGCATTTTAGCATTTTTATGAACCTCTACGACAAGTATCGAAAATTTTTCTGGATCGACTTGGTTCAGGGTAGCTCCAGTTTGTCTGCTTGCTGTTAAGCTTGAGCTCACTTTTATTTTTTTTTTTAGATCTCCTCCCTCTTCTTTTAAAGTGCGCTGTTTGTTTAAAAGACTATAACAATATTCTTAAGTATTTGCTGGAGTGTTCCTGTCCTGGTTGGTTCATTATTCTCTTTGTTTAGAATATGTAAATTGAACTGCTCGTACTTCCGGGTAATGCTCACGGTTCTTTTCAGAACGCCCTGAAAGACGTTTTCGAGGCACAGTCTTGATGAAAGCTCTTTTTCATATAAGGGCTCACTACTTAGCAAAAAAAACAGAAAAGTGCGCTTGATAGCAGAAGTTTAAGCATATTTGATGAGAGCATCCTCTTGACTTTTCCACCAACCTCAGTGTCAATCCACATGGACGACTGTACTCCGCTGTGTAAGTTTTCCTACTCCATCTTCTCTAGCAAAAAAATGTCTTAGTGGCTACTCCATAGTTACTTGCGATGTACATTTCTCGAAAGAGAAGTGCTCCTCTAAGTACTTGGAAATCTGCTATGCGCTAACCTGCTACCTGCACGCCTCGTGGGAGACCTCTTCTCTGCAGGCAAAACGCATATAAGCTGCTATGTTCCTATTGGTTCTGAAGCGCTGATCCAGATCGAACTAAGTGAGGGCCACCCCTTATTATCCTGCCGCCATTCCGCCTCGCAGCCTGTATTGGGTGCTCCTCCGCACCACTTTTACGTCTCTTCAACATTAACAAGTTTATTTGTAGAAACTTTTCAAGCTCGTGACGACTGCGGTGATTTCATTTGTAACCTTTCCTTCATTCCCAAAGAAACAAGACTATTTCGGGTTTGCCTTGCCTTTAAGAGAAATTTCAGCAGCGACTTTAGAAGTGTTTTCTTTTGTCGTACATCTTTTGGCACGTCTGTAGTAACATTTTCTTAAAAGTGCAGAAAAGTGACTCATACGTTCGGTTCATCTCGTTGTAGAGTTTACCTCTTTTGGGCTGGCCGACCTCCTCTAACTTCTTACTATTCGCAAAATTTGAGTATGTTTCTTAGTTAATTAAAGTGGTCAGCCCTGCACCAGCTTTATTTTTGGTGCACAAGTTCGGTATAGGCGTGAATCGCTGGAAGTTCCGAAATGGGAATCAAGTAAAACTACTTTCGAATCGTTTTCTACAGTTTATTACAAATTCTGTCGGTTATGATTTTTCTTAAGAGTGGGTTCCAAGCTGGCTGTAGAAGTATCTGCATTTAATGGCCTCATGAGTAACCACGAAGTTGCTTGCTACGCTTGGATCATCGTTCTTCCACTTTTTTGATAGTTTAGGATGAAGGCAATTCAGACTTAATTGAAAGCTTCTCCGGCTCTAATCTACTAACTATTATAAATTTAAAATCCAACGAAGAAAAGATCATCTGTGCCATTCGCATAAAAGTTATGCTTATATCTTCTGAGCCAGGGGCAGGTGTACAATCTTCTCTTCTTTGATAAACCCGTTAAGATATTCTGTCACTCTTAATTATCAGACAGTTTAGCTATTTTTCCTCGCATAAAAAATTTACCAGTCAGTCAATTCTATGACACGAATACACCAATTAGTGTTGGTCATAAAGAAGTTGCGCATCAAAACTTTGCGGAGATCTACAATGATAGCATTGATCCGCAAGGCTGCTGCTATTTAGCTTGCTACTACGGCAACTATATTCCTCCGGCCTCTTATTCTCTGCACTTCCAGGTACCTTAATTCGGCCTTTTGCTTTAGTTCAGCTACTGACGCATTTTCTCAGATGCATTATCAACTGGAAACTAACAATTCATCTGCCTTGTTTACCTGCCAAAAAGAATTTACTGTTATTTTCAGAACGCCTTTTGAATTTTCTGCAGAGCTTAGAAGAGAGGGCTCCTTCTGTAAGTCTACTGTTTTTTAATAGCAATAGTTATGGCACATAATATTGTTAATATTTATATTTTTATGTTTGCCAATTCAGTAGCTTAGTTATATTATTAATTAGCTCCTTTGAACTGCTTGTACACTTTTGTTCCTTCTTTTATGATGTATCAAGTTACGTGCCGCACTTCTTTCCCGGTTTGCGTGAAGGGCATCTCTTTTAATACGGTAATTTCTGTTATTCTATCAAAGTATCTTAAAATTTACGTTATTAATTTTCCTTTAGAATGATGGTTTTACAATAAATACCAGTTGTATTGAGGAAGGTAAGGAAATTATTGTTATTATAAAAGATTTCTTTTTATAAAAGACTTCTATTATGTATTACAGATATATTATTCCAACCCGACGACATTTATAGCAACGGAGTGGGTACCACTTATTCAGGAAACCCCACAAAAACAAGTTTGGGTATCTGCAAAATCAGTTGGAAAAAGTCTGTATTCCGCCCATTGCTATTGGTTGGCACAAGCCGTATATTTAATAAATTAAAATTTTAACGTCCTTCAGGATACGGTTTCAGGCACTTTTGAAGCAGCGCTTCCATCTTTTGTTTGTGCTGAGAGAGACATCGTTGTAACGAATTGTAACGCTTTCCTTAATTAATACCACTCCCTTTGTATAAACTTGCTTACTATAAGATGCCCCTCGTTTTGGAATCTTACAGAAGGCCTTATTCTTCACCTGCGAAATCAAGAATTACTCGCCCGACACTCTCCAGCTGTCGGTGGCGGTAGTAGCGTCCGACGATTTCTTCCTTTCAGGACGCACGCGGTTCCACGTGAGAGTACTCCCACATTGTTCGCACAGTGAGGTGGGACTAATGCTTTAAAAATACTTAATTTTTTAAAAAATTTTATTTAAATCCGAGGCAGATTTTTAATTTAATTCCTAAATTGTGCGGGGAACTACCACTTCCTCAACTCGAGATTGACACTAAAAACTTTGGTATCATAGACTATCCAACTGCATAATTCACGTGTATATAAAACCAAATTAGCAGTTTCTATTTTGTTAAAGAGTTTTTTTTTATCATATTGTCAATAAAAAGTTAACACAGCTGCGCTCTATAGCAGCGGTTCTATAATTAAGTGCGAAAGATCTTAGTCTTTATATAAATTTAAATAAATTCCTCACAACAAGCGCTACAGTTTACTTTTTTTATATATAAACATAGAAAATACGATAATTATCTTAATACTCCCTTTCAATTAGCTTCAATAAGTGGCTATACCTTTAATTTACTCAACACAAAAAGCATTTAGGCTTTTTTAAGGTTACAATTCTGCTGTGACATTGAATTGTAAGATAATAATTTTAAATGCAACTGAAAATACCAAAATAATCAACTGCTCTCTAAAGTTTTAGCCAACTACTAGTCTTTTCAAGTTACCGCAGCATAAGGCGGCGTGTCACATAAACTTTTAATTTTATAATAGTAACCTCATTATCTACATAAAATCTTAACCAGTTAAATTAATATAAGCGAGTAAACCACGCAAACTACATAAAATAAAGGTTATTGCTAATAGAGAAATTAAATTTATTTTTCTCCCGCAACGTTTTGATCATTCTCGCCACGTGCAGGTTCTATTTGAGATTTATCAGCATAACATTTTCTGCAAATAAGGCGCCTAGCAAAGTTGTGCTCGGAACATAAAGCGCAGGTCCAGTCTCCCAGTTTATAGCTATGACCATCAGCGAACGCTAGTGGGCCCTTCCTGTGATCCTGGCTAGAATCAACAGTGCTGCAGAAATAACGTTTTTATAAATTTATAAAATAAATAAAATTTAAAAAGTGAACTTCTCTGGTCGAGGAGTGTCACACATTCTGCAGTAGGAAACGCGAGCAAAATTGTAATAACCGCAATCAGCGTTAGGGCAATACCAATCGTGAGACACAAATTTACTTCCTTGAAAGTCATAAAGTTGATAAAATTTTAAAGTCAACCCCAAAATGTTATTTTTTATAGTAATAACATACCAGAAATGCTTCCAGCATTATCATACTTAGGAGCTCCACACCGTCGGCTAAGTCAAAGTGTGTAATTGTTTTAATAAATATTTATAGAAATTATATTCTATCAACCATTCTAAATTTCTGGCAAAGTTGTGATGTTGACATTTAGGTTGAGAACACATCCAATCTCCAGGCATGAAATTGAGAGGAATGGAATTGTTAACCATTCCAAAACTATTATTTGAGCTCGAATATCGAGAATTATTAGTATAATGTTTCTGGTTTTCACCTCCACCAGAACGATAATTTTCAAGCTTATCTGCGTTGTTGGGCCTTACAATACCGCAATCCCTAATTTAACATAGATAAAAAGAAGAAAAACACATAAGGGTTAAGTTAAAACCATATAGAAAGCACCAAAAAACTACTTTCAAATAAGGTTTAGTAGCTACTAAATTAAAAGTGGTAAAAAAAAGGAATAAAGAAGTAAAAAGAAGTAGACTATGGAGAAAATTGAAGTAAATTAAAAAATATTTATGGGGTGCCTGCAATTCATATTCCTTGAAAAGTTATGGGAGTCACATTGGGGACACATCCAATCTCCAGGAAGAAAATTCATAACTCTACCACTTCTAAAGGTTTTAGAAATTTAGCACAAACTAGACTAAACTTGAAAAGTTCGATAGGAAGCCCGCTAGAAGGTCCCGTACTGCTTCGACCAACACATACCAGGTCTACCACGTGAGGTTCGACTCAGTTATTCTTTCTTTTGCAAAACGCATAGCATTTGTCTACCCTCCCGCATGTTTCTTTTTACGTACTGGTTAACTATAATAGAAGGAGGGGGCTAGTGGGTTTCTTACGATAAAAGCCTCGATTGCACTTTTACGTGGCGCGGTATTTTTAACGTAGTCAAAGAAACAAGTTGATCCTTGTAGTGGGGCTACTGGTCTGCCGCCCTCTTTTATATAGAAGAGGATTAATTGAAACTGCCAATTTATCTTTTTAGAACAGTTTGGCGGTAGTTCGCTATTTATTTAACAAGCTTATGCTGTCGGTAACTAGTCGGACAACCTATCGTTTTTAAAATACCAAAGCTTATTTTTTAAGTAAACCAGAATTAGCAGCATTTCTTTCACTTGGCGTACTCAACGCTATTTTTATATGTGAAGATATTCTAAATTATTACTAAAAGAATTGACAGTTAACAGCGCTTCTGGTTAATAAAGCAAATTTTACATAATTTCTAGAGATAGAGCCTTAAACAGTGTATGCTTTTATAACTGTGTGCTAAAAGATTTTTTTTGCTATGCAATATGATCTGCCTTCTATATAAAATACTCGATACAAGGGACCCGCCTTAGTGCTGCTTAATTACCGCCCTTGTCAACAACCAGCTTATCGTTCGTTTATCAATTAGTGGAAAACTATGCTGTGTGATAGCGAAGAGTCGGTAGAGAGATTTGCTAAGACGATTAATACATTTAGAAAATAATAAACGTCTACCTTTTTCATCGTTACCTCTTATTTATTCGGATTTTTACTCTTCTAGACTTTTTAGCTAAGCTCTTTCAGCTAAATTCGTCAATTTTTTTATTATTTTTAAAGCTTGCTAAACTGCACGGTAGTTGTTCTAAAAATGTAATATAGGCGTTAAAATGTCATGCTAATATTTTAATATACCATTAAATGTTTTACATATTGATACAGTTATCAAATTTTAATTAACGCAGTTTCACAGTAATAAACAGTTGCTCTCTTATGGTTATAAATATAATCAATTTTTTTCCTGATATATACTTAAAAATTGCTTAAAAAATTTCCCCTTAGGTACTAAACTTTGTTGTATACTTTATTAAGAAGCCTTTTTGAACTTCAAATAGATGTTTTTTATTTAAGTATTTAACTTTATAGGTTAAAGCCATTTTTTTTTATTCGCTTTTTTTTAATTCCCTCCTTTTGCATAGCTTCTTACTAAAAAAAAAGTACCCGGTAACAAAGTTGTATTAATAATATTAGCTTGCAGCTATATAATTATAAGCCTAGTGGTACCTTATGAAGTTTAGAAATTTACACTCCGTTAAACATAACTAGTTTGTACATAAATTTTTAAGTTTAAGGAAATACACGAAGCTTTGTATAACGCCCTGAGCTACTGTGACGATCCCATTTCCGGCGGTAGAACACCTTAAAATAAGCTTGAGAGGCAATGAGACAGAGTTATTTAACTATTTTAATATCACTCAAGAGAAAATATAAAAACCTCTTGGCCATGGACGCTGTACCTTTCTTGCAATACCGAAAAACGCTCTGGTTTATCACGCCAAATAAAATTAAGGTGGAATTTAATAGGTAAAATATGTAAAATCATCTCATTGAGATCGAGATTTGTGGCCGTAGTTGAAGGGTTAAAAGCATTGACGACGCGCATACTCAAGGTCGTGGGTTCGCTTCCCACCGAAGCGACTCTCCTTTCCTATCTTGATGGTGGCTGTTTTTCCTAGCCCTCATAAACCCTAATGGAATTCACTACATCACTCCAGGTGGTTGGCCTTTGACTTTTCTTTACAGGGATTGGTTAATTTTTCCTTCGCAATTCCCTGCGCTCCTCTTTTGGTTGCCGTTTTTTGGAAGGTTATACAATATATCCTGTCTTAGCGGTTGCTACGCTTTTGGCATGTTGCGTTCTAAAACATATATTAAAAAGAACAGAAAGGTTTTTTTTACTAATATTTTATATAACCCTTTTATTCTACCCTTTGTATTAAGGGCGGCATTGTAAAAGTTGTTCAAGATTATTATTTAAGGGACGATGTCTGGTGCGGCTCGGAAGCTTGTTTAGTTTGCCCTAAGAACGGTTGGTCCTTGTTCTCACATGTTATTAACCTAATTTATGTGGTAATTTTTTTATTAATAATATTTTGATTTATAGCGGCTGTGCTAGAGATGGCCCCTAGGGGCCCGAATCCTTGGCTTTTAGTGGTCCACGCCATTTACTTCCCGACACGAATATCATTGTTTGTCATGTCTTGTCTAAAGTTTTACTTTATAATCTTCTTTTAAACAATATAACAACGTTAGCTCCCCGTACTTGCTCACTTTGTTATTAAAAACCTAATTATAACACAAACCGTGCTCTCTGAAGTTAAAAATCTCAATGTTTCTATTTATGAACGCCTACGTGAATTGATGAAGGACCCTTCAAACAAATTTATTTCTTTTACAAATGAACATCATAGGTTTCTATTAGTGTTTGTGCTCAGTTTATTTTTA